TGCACGTCGCCGGAGTCGGTGTGCTGGCATGCGCAACACGTGTCCCAGGCATCGGAGCCTGGTGCGTGATATAATGGTGCTGATCGGTTCACTCGCTCTTCCTGCACCAAATACGCGACGCCGAACACGCTCATTGCTCGCGCGCTGCTCCCACCAGACATGATCGAACGTGGCTAGCCTCTTTATGTCTGTCGACCTGATGGGCCAGGTTTCACAACCATATAGGAGAGTTGAACGGACGACTGCATTATAGACTCTGCCTTTCAGGGCGAGAGTGATATCATGTGTGCTCCACAGGTGGTGGAGATTGGCAAAAGCATAACGAGCTTTTGCTCTACGGTTCGTAACCTCATTTTCGATATCATAAGGACTAGTATAGCTGTCCAACTACTTGAATGCCTGAACGACTTTTAGCTGATCACCTCAGGTAGGTGACCTGCTTTACCGTCCGGGGTAGTCCGCCTACCTTTGATCTCCTCTTGTCACCCAACACTCGCCTGCAGCTCCAAGAAGCCGCTTCCACGTGGCTGCGGCGACACCTCGGTCAATCGTCAAGCAGACGGGCTAAACCAGGTGAGGGTAGCCGGGAACACTATTCTCGGTGAGTTCGTACCCGCGTGCAACGTCAGTCCTGTTAACTCGGCGGAAGAGGTCGACCTCTAATCCAACGATCAGAAGTTAAAGCAATTTCCCAGATCCCTGCTGTCTTGCTGGTAGCAATTGGCTATGCAGTCTAGAGGTGAACCCTGGGACATAAGCCGGATGAGGTTGAGGTCCTCACGCGTACTCATTATCCCCACGAAACTTCATGACGTGTCCGTTACCGCGATTCCTCTCATGCTACGGCGTTCCCAGGAGGCGACGCGCTCTGCGCTGCCTCAGTAGCTGAAACATGTTAAATAGGTGGTTTTCCTCCGCCTTCCTCAGTCCCAGTGTGCTACAGTGTGTTTCGGCCCATTTGAAGTGTCCTAACGCAACTACCGTTGTAAATGGCTGGGTGGTTACTGCAATAGTTTAAGATCTGATCAGTGTGAGTCGCTTTTCGATAGACTGTTATTTCCAGGGGCCCGGAAGCATGTCGTTTGATGAGCACGTCCAAGAATGGCAACTGATCATTGTTCTCCTCCTCATTGGTGAAATGGAGGCCTGGGAAAATATTATTGACTAGGTGATGTGTTTCTTATATTTTGCAACGCTTGATGATGCCAAAAGTACCGTCCACGTAACGTACCCAAAATTTAGACCCCACCATCGGCAGTGCCTTTTGTTCCAGCGCTTGCACCATGCCTCAGCTACCAGTTCAGAGATTGGTGTGCCAATTATCTGTTTGTACGTTTGGCCATTCAAAGTGAAGTGTGTGATGAGACAGAAATCAATCAACTCCATCATATGTGGGACTTAAATCCCGTTGTTCGTAGTTGCCGCCCCGTGTTGTTCAAGTAGGGTCATCATTGATTGCCTTGGAAATTTCGTGTCAATTGATGTGAATAAAGCTGTGACATTAAAGTATACCGACATCTCATCTCTTTCTGTGGTTATTCCTTTGAGTTTTTCAAGGAATCTTGCTGCCGATTTCATTGAATGTTCTGAGTTTTCGGTTAGGTGTTTCAGCCGTTTCCATAGTTCTTTAGACAGCTTGTACTTCGGTGCCCCGGGTAATGAGACGATAGGGCGAAGCGGTACCCCATTTTTGTGTAATTTGGTGGACTGTGGTACCACTGAATCCTCTGATTACATTTTGCTGTGTTCTAACTTCGCGAGCTGTCCCAATTGTTCCAGTCTTTGAAGTGCTCATTTGATCTGGCTTGCAAGACGTATTGCAGGATCTTCACTTATCGGCTGGTACTTGTTCAGATCTCGGGCAATCCTCCACTAACGAGCAACTCTACTCCCTGCATGAATGTCTGCAGAGACAAGTCTTACCATCAAATATACATTACCGCCAGCCCATCAACAATCCTTTGGCCTGGAAGATCACCGAGCAACATGGACGACGAATGCTAAGTCTGCTGATCACGGATCCACAAAACCGATGGCAAAATTATCCACGGGTAATGGACCAACAAAGGGAGGTATTTCAGCTACTTCATCATTGTCACTCCCAATCGGCAGGCTTAAGCTAGTCTGGAAAGGCACCAGACGCCGGCGTTTCGACCTTCTGGGTCTCGTCAGTAGTGCGCCTCCCAGCGGACCCTTGCCGGGTTCCGTCACCATGACTTCAGGATGCCAGCAGCTAGTGCCACTTCGCCATGGGTGACAGCCGAGGACCTGCATGATTGACAGTTTACTATGATTATAGCCCAGCTCATCTTCCACTGCCATTCCAGTTACGAACTATGCAGAGGACAATGGCTAACCTCACGAGCTAGGACTTTCCGCATAGTGCCTATGTACTACATTGAGAGATATGTTTATTCAACATCGGAGAACAGTTGACCGGAGAGCTTGAGAAAGCCATAGCTATTAGAACTCACAACACGAAGCTTCAAACAATGCAGAAGCTACAAGGGAAGCTGGACAGGATCTCAAAACCGAAACCAAGAAATGAAGAAGATGCCTGGATAAAGTATTTATCCAAACGAACTCTATCAGCTACCGAAAGAGCAGTCATTGTGCGAGATCTGCAACTCTTACAAAGATGCTACTCCCATTAATTTTCTTGCCGCACTTGACTCGACGCTGGCCCCATGCAACATCGCAGCGGATGCCCAACATGTAATTCGACAGCGTCATCGCCGCTCTGAAGCACAAGGTGGAAAAGAACATATTCAAGGTAAGCGAACAAAGGGCACTGACAAACCTCAGAAGAGACAAGACTATTGTTATATTACCGGCCGAATAGGGGCGTCTCACGGTGATAGTGGACAAAACTGACTACATGAAAAAGACACAAGAACTGCTCGGAGATCTGAACAAGTACCAGCCGATAAGTGAAGATCCTGCAATACGTCTTGCAAGCCAGATCAAATGAGCACTTCAAAGACTGGAACAATTGGGACAGTTCGCGAAGTTAGAACACAGCAAAATGTAATCAGAGGATTCAGTGGTACCACAGTCCACCAAATTACACAAAAATAGGGTACCGCTTCGCCCTATCGTCTCATTACCCGGGGCACCGAAGTACAAGCTGTCTAAAGAACTATGGAAACGGCTGAAACACCTAACCGAAAACTCAGAACATTCAATGAAATCGGCAGCAAGATTCCTTGAAAAACTCAAAGGAATAACCACAGAAAGAGATGAGATGTCGGTATACTTTAATGTCACAGCTTTATTCACATCAATTGACACGAAATTTCCAAGGCAATCAATGATGACCCTACTTGAACAACACGGGGCGGCAACTACGAACAACGGGATTTAAGTCCCACATATGATGGAGTTGATTGATTTCTGTCTCATCACACACTTCACTTTGAATGGCCAAACGTACAAACAGATAATTGGCACACCAATCTCTGAACTGGTAGCTGAGGCATGGTGCAAGCGCTGGAACAAAAGGCACTGCCGATGGTGGGGTCTAAATTTTGGGTACGTTACGTGGACGGTACTTTTGGCATCATCAAGCGTTGCAAAATATAAGAAACACATCACCTAGTCAATAATATTTTCCCAGGCCTCCATTTCACCAATGAGGAGGAGAACAATGATCAGTTGCCATTCTTGGACGTGCTCATCAAACGACATGCTTCCGGGCCCCTGGAAACAACAGTCTATCGAAAAGCGACTCACACTGATCAGATCTTAAACTATTGCAGTAATCACCCAGCCATTTACAACGGTAGTTGCGTTAGGACACTTCAAATGGGCCGAAACACACTGTAGCACACTGGGACTGAGGAAGGCGGAGGAAAACCACCTATTTAACATGTTTTGGCGGAATTCTTACCCTAACCATTTTATTTTACGCTACCTGATGTCGAAGAATCAACCACAGCCCTCTTCTGCCAGTGTAACCGAAAGGAAACCGTCGTCCTACCTTGTATCTATGAGATTTCTGAAATGGCAGCGTTGCTTTTTATGCCTGGCGGAATCATCGTTGCACATGAAGCAACGGAAACCGTTCAAACGTTTTAGGTCATAGCACCAGCTGAGTAAGGAAGAAACATCAGGTGTGATTTACAACATTTGCTGCAGAAATTGCGACGAGTACTACGTGGGGCATACAGGGATTTAGCTTAGTACAAGACTGTATGAGCACAGTCTGATCATCCGCCGCCATGATGAAAAGTCACTTATGTCAGTACATATAGGTGCCGAAGGCCATCAGATCGATCTGGGAAACGTGAAGGGACTTGGAAGAGCGAAGAACCGCAGAGCGCATGAGTTCATCGGAGCCTGGCATTCGGGCCGGAACTCAATCCACAAGCACCTGGAATTAGAGGGTGCCTACGAAGCTCTGCAAGTGAGGACAACTATCATTGACAGATCGGCAGGGCGAAGACGCGACCACTCGACCGACCCACGTGAGGCAATCGAAGACTGACATTCGAACAGGAGACGATCATTATTCTCTTGGATATGGCGATGGCTTACGGGGCTCTGCGAATCAGACCCTAATAGCCGCACTGACGATTTTGCCTAGCTTGGCAACGAAACGTTTGCAACAAAATTGCCCAGACCGGAGAACACATCAACCTTCTCTTGCACACCCTGAGCTACAGGTATTCTCAATAATTTTCTGTCGTCACCATCGCTCACTTATCTCGCCACTGGGCGGTAGTCGATCTGGTACAGACTGACCGGTTCTTAATATGGTTCGATACCTCTCGTTTGTTTACTTCTGCCGTGTTCAGTCCCCTTGTGCTATATCCAGTCGTTTTCAAGCGTTTCATCTTCTCTCAGTTCTATACCGTTTATTTCTCTTATCATCCGTCTGGCCATTTTCGCTGCTGATCCCCGGGAGACCATTGTTTACTACGCTGTGTAACCTTCGGAATTCGACGGTAAATTGTTGCATCTTGCAAGTCACTTCTTATCCTCCTCCTCTCCCTGAACAGGGTACCCCCGAGAAGCTAATCGAGCATTTGGTTGCCGATTTATCTAGTGTAGATGTCACCTATCCCGAAGACTTCCTTCTCACCTATCGCACTTTCTTGGAGTCACCGAAGCCCATCGTGGTGCGTTTGCTCTCCTGGCATTTGCACAGTCCTCACTTGCGCCCTCGAGTCAATCGTATTGTCCTCTTATGGATACACAACCACTTCAGCGATTTTGCCGATAACCCGGAGATGATGCGGTTTTTGGAGCAATTCGATCGAATGCTCATTTCAGACGGAACAGGTGAGCTTTTGTTTTGTTGTATTATAGAGGCTTTTTCAACACGGCCGTAACCCCTTGCTGATGTACGTGAATCAGTTTGATTCAGCTTGTCAGCTGTGATTCTTGCAACGAATTTGCGTTGGACCCAACAATTGTAATGACATATTTTTATCATTATGATGGTAATGATTTAGGCTAAATGAATAAAAAATAAAATTGCTAAACTGGATACTTTGGAGTCAAGCCTAACGCCATTGGCTTGGCGACCTCACCATGCTCGACAGGTTGTTCAATCACTGATGTAGCTGGTTCCTAGAAAATGACAGACATCAACTTGACTCGGCCTTTCGGTGAGTCTTCACTTTCTTTTGCCCCTTTATTGATTGGCCACCCAGCTCCCGATTGTGTGCAGCATTAGCAAGCAACTTCATATGTGCATATTCTGAGCGTTTGTAGAACAGTCTCCGTGGCGCTTCCAACAAGACTCATTTTTGTCCCACTAATATTTCCCGTCCTTCTGCACAAATGCACTCTTCCGATTTCGTTTGTCATATTTCTATGGGTACTGACGCTTCGAATCGTTGTTTGCGATTCCAGGGCTTATGATGCTCGAGTGAAGCTTCCTATTCAAGATCTCTATTATGTGTCTGTGTCACTACCTTCCGAAAGTTTGTTATTCCGGTTACCTAGGAACTTAATGCACCGGTTCACCTGCTCTTATGGTATCATTGAGTAACTACATAAGCACCGCAGTATTTGGGCGCACAAACGAAATAGCACGGTTCCTGGACACGTAACGCGATTGAAGCATGGACACTGTGCGTTCTCAGTTTTCTGTGTGGTTGTCCCCATGCGTCCCATTAGGAAAAACGGCAGTTCTTTCCTCATCATCCACGATCGTGTCTTACTAACTGCGTCCTCTCTGGTTGCTGCATACTTTAATGACAATGAATTGCGTGTGAGTATACTTATAGTACAGACGAATTCATTCACCACCTCCTCTGACTTGGTTAAACACCTAACTCGCCCATAGTTTAACAATATCCTCGAGAGTGTAACGACTTTTGGGTTCATCTAACGTCGAGAGGTTCCGAAAGCCCATTCTTCTTCTGCTACGTTCAACCTCTTAGGAAATTGGGTCGCGAATATGTCGCAGCCTACATCGAATGGAGTGGCCGACTACATTGTCAACAAACACATGTATCTATACGAACACTGTGATGACTAAGCCTCATTCCTACGTCGAAAATGCCTGTGACGCACGCAATCGCTTAGCTCAGCAGGTGCGCTTCAGACTTTGTCTTACCCTCCACCGACTGTTGTGCTACAGTAGTAAACTGTCTCCTTCGCTGGCACCCATAAGTAATTTCCCACTATAAAAATACACGCTACCTACACTATACACATTAACAGCTGCACACTTCCGCGTCGTAAAGTGACTCATTTCGTGCCCATCTTATAGATGCATCCGTTCCATGTTTGCTTTTCCCATCGGCTCCATGTTTTTCGTCTTTCCTCATTTTAACACCTTCCCTCTCGACGGCTGCTACTTCAACACCAGCGCAAGCGTGCTGTCCATGCGCAAACCACGAGTTTCTGTTTTTACACTACCTTCTATTTTGTTTCATGTCCAGTATCTTCCAGTCACATTCGGTTGTGTCTGCCCTGTACTCGCCGCTGTTCCTACTTTCGATTCGGAACTTCATGGCGATGACCGAAGCCAGCCTCGGATGAACTCCGCTCCTCCTCCTCACAGCTGTCCAAAGTTACATCTCATTTCCCGTAGATGGAGGCTTTTGTTTACTTATTTACCGTTTTTTTCATGTATCAATGATTAGGGTCTACTTTATAAACCGTTGAACTACTTGTTCAAACACACTCGGTATCTATCCCAATTCTCTACTAATTCAATCCCTCTGTTCTCTTTCTTGGCGTTTATGAATGCAGTCCTTTTCGTGCGGCTATCAAACGCTTTGCGCCTTCAGTTTCCTTCCATTTGCATCTCTATGTGGAAAACATACTGCATATCCCCCCATCTCACCATAGTTAATCTCATTGACGTACTGAACCTCGTCTTCGGCCACGTGATATTTCCATGACGCTGATCGTGACCGGATACCTCAGGTTCTATTGCTATATTGCCCCTTCAAGTATGCTTTTTTACCCTGATTTTGGATTTGATTAGAAGGCTTTCGGCAACCCATGCTACCTTACTTATACTTATTGGTGTCTAAAGGTGACTTCCTTTGGCTCTTTTTGCTTCAATCTCCATGAAACTGACACGATTGTTCGCCTTGTTTTCTGTCCTGATTTCATCCACTTTTCTTGCTTGTGCGGCGAAGTGAAAAGATTTCCAACAAGATCTCCATTGGATCGACCACGGCTCCCTAAATCGTCACGAGTGGTATTCTCGTCGACGAGTGGTTGCCCACCACTTTGCACACGATCTTAGTCTCTTACTTTGGTCCCGTATTCACACCTCCCGCTGTCTGGCAACACTTCCGAAACAATGTCACTTTTGAATCTTGGCACCTTCGATTCAGTTATGTCGTGCCTACGGTTCCTTCTTCGACCAAGTAATCGTCGTTGCTTTCTTAGCTCATTATTTTGACTATTTCACCGATCAGCCCATAATTATTTGTGCACCCCCACCCCCATCCCCTTTCAGCCGGGGAAAGACGCTTGTTCCAACTGGCGTGTAGCACCAAGGCGCGCCCGCGAGAAGTCGTCTTGGATTTACCGCTCCATCAATCCAGCCGAACGACATCTGCACATTCAGCAACTGCTGTGATCATTCCTTTCTCTCTGATCGGAGGTCAGCACGGTGTCGGCATCTTTGTCGATCATGTGAGTTCGTGTTTTGCTTGTGCGTTCCTCCTCCAGTCTCATTTCTTCTCTGATAGTCGTCGTTGCTCGCACGTACACACGCCGTCCTCTGGCACTTTCCGCTGCTCTCAGTGTCGGTTGCTACGATTATGGATGAGTCGCTCCTAATTGACTTGGTAGTCACCCAGCCTCTTGCGGAGACAGATGCCGTTTGCGAGTATGTATCTCATTGAACAGATTAAGAATGTCAATAAACCACTGTTTTTTGCTCACGCTCTACATGTAACTGCACTACTTCACATCACGGTGGACAAAAAGTAAGACCTGTTAAGTAAGTGAACCAAAACAAGTTGAAGATCTCAATCAGCTTTGCTTGAACCACCTACAGATTAACGCATATGGTCGTATTGACATCCACAGCGTTAGGGAATAGCTTTCCCTGTCAACCTTTGTTACGGAAAATGCTACCACTATTCGCATATATATATATATATATATATGTAAATATTTATGCTGCAGTTGGGCTAAACCAACTTACACTTAAACCAGGTCTTTTTAGGCGGAAAAAATGTCATTCCACTTTAATTGGTTTATTCTGCCTACCTGAGTAATCTTCTATTGCACACGTTGCTTACGCTAATTGCGCTTATCTTCGTTAACTTTATTGCCTTTGTAGCATATTTCGAGTAACTTGTGGATATTTTGTACTTGTCGCTTATTCGTTGATAACCAACTTACTTCATATGCTAATTTAGCGAAGAGTTATGTCCTCATAGTCGTGTGCTTTAACAGATATCCTTTTTTGATAATGTTATTTCAAGTGGTTGGCTGTTGCTTGATATCTCCAGTGTGGCTGCGCTTGATGTGCATGTTAACAAGGTGCCTACCTGTGTATTACCCACTACCTCGTCCATACTGGCTCCAGGAGACACTTGGTCGTTGCTGGAGGGGAGGGGGGGTGCACGGTCCTTGTAGCCATGCTAGGCTCGAAGAGTAGTTCCATGCTCTCGTATTATGATGACGGGTGCTGGCACGCTCAGCCAACTCGGTAGCGAGACGTCTGATGTCGATTTACGGTTGTAACAGAACAGTCGTTCATGACGGGTTGCGTTTATGGGGTCGAAAAGACGGGGACGAGTTGATTGCAGCGCATCTAGCAAAACGCTTTCCCACTGTGTTATTGCGAGGCTGTTATATCTGAGTGCAATACTAATCGATTCCCAGATCACACCGTTAACACTCCTCATGTGTCCATTACCTGGGGGTTGTACGACGTCGTCTGACTGATTACAATACCATTTTGCGTGATAAAACGTCGCACTTCTTTGGACACAAATAATGAACCGCGATCAGAATGGATGTAGAGCGGCATATCGCAAAGAGAACGGTTTTTTTAAACAACTAATCTCATTTGGAACTCTCATGTCACTACATGCAAAGGGGAATGGGAGTCTAGAGAATTCATCGACAATGGTGAGTAGATATTACTTGTTTTTTTCTAAGGGTGAAGGACCTCTGAAATCTCTGCTTAATCCTTCGAAAGGGTACGTCGTCTTAATGAGTGCTCCGAATGGCTTGGTTTCCATTCGGCACATACACATTGCAGCGATATGTCATTGCGTTCACTTCCCCAACTGAGAAGGGCGCATTCTGTGAACGAATAAAATAGAACATTCTAGTGACCACCGGGGCGCACAGGGTGTCATGCAGTTAGGTATGTGACTGTGACGAATAACATGTACGCGATAAAGCGTCAGCAGTCGCCTTAGGTTCCCCGATTCGATATAACAAATCATAATTGTAGCAGGAGAGCTTAATACGCCAACGTTAAACTTTATCATTTTTCATCTCACCTTTTTGGTCGATTTTGAACGCGGATGATCTGTAATAGTTATGAAGCGCTTACCCAAGTGGTGCAGTGCAGTCACCAACGCGGGTCCACCGTGTTTCAATACTTCAGGCGGGATTCCGTCGGCCCCTGCATACTTGCCGTTTCGCAGCTGAGCAGGTGCTCTCTGCGTCCCACCCAGTGTCGGCTTGTCCGCCAGACTCGTCTTCACATCGCGGTGCTTCAGGCCATTCAATGTAGGCCAGTCGATCTCTGAACGGTTGTTCAAGAGACAGTCCAAGTGTTTTTGCCGGATCTGCATTATGTCTGCAGCCTGTGTGCAGGTAGCACCTGAAGTACCATCGATCAGCGTCCTCAGCGGCTCCAATCTCGGTCCATACACCGCCTTCAAGGAGTCAAAGAATTCCTTGTGTTGACGGCGTTCGGCTTAGCATTCCATCTGCTTCGCGTTCGCCGTCCACCATGCACTTTTAATGCGACGGAGCTCTCAGGTCAGTCGCCGTCGAAGTTTGCGAAACTGACTCTTCTTCCCCAAGTCACTGGGGTCTGCCACATGTACAGCAAATGTTGCATTCTTCCTGGACACCAATGCGCCAATCGTCGCATTGTTGTCATCAAACCAATTAGGCCGCTTACATTTTGCGCGCCCGATGGTCTCCTCGGCAGCGGCTGTCATCTGGTCGCGAATGTGGTACCACAGGTCACCCACTGTGGCTATGCAGTCCACATCACACAAGCGTGCAGCCATCGCCTTCTCCAGCTCAGTACATTTCGCCCCAGTACCGAGGGAGAGCATGTTAAATTTACGCTGATTCACGGCGAGAGTGCAATATATAGATTTACGAAAATATATGTACAGTTTGGTGCGCATCGATTTGTGATCAGTGCCACACTCAGCTCCACGCAGTACACATGTCATGCGCACTTCACGCATATCACGCTGACACACGATGACATAGTCGAGCAGGTAGGCGTGACCACTTCGTGGGTGCGTCCAAGTTGCTATATCACTCGCACTCAGTGCAAACCTAGTGTTCATGATTGTTAGGCCGTGAGTGGCACATCGTGAGAGCAGCCTGTCACTGTTCGCATTCGTTAAACCAATGCCATGCGAACCGATAACATCTGTCCACACCGATGCATCACGCCCAACGCGCGCGTTGAAATCACCAAGCAGAAATAGTCGGTCGCTCCTCGGCACAGACCGTATCACGGAGGAAAACTCAGTGTAGAATTGATCACTCGTGTCATCAGGATAATACATGGTCGGACCATACGTGCTTATAAAGTGGCAAACTTACCTCTCCCGAAGCGTAGGCGAACAGTCATCAGTCGCGCGCTGATGCCCGTTGGTTCACCCACCAGCTGGCCATTCAGGCGATCGGATATTGCAAATCCGACCCCATGATCACGTGGTGCTGAGGCGGCGTTGCCCACCCAGTAGAATGTGTAGCCAGCACCTGCTTCATGCAACTTACCTTGCTCAGCGAGCCGGGTTTCACTCAGCGCTATAATATCGATGTGGTAACGCGCCAGCTCCATCGCGACCAGTACAGTGCGTCGCGCAGGGCGCTCACTGGAGTTCCGGTCCAGTAGTGTGCGCACGTTCCAGCACCCGATGCTGAGTGCTTTGCGCGCAGGCATACGATGGCTTTGGTGGGCAATCGCACGCTAGGTGGTCCTTGTGCTTCGGAGGTTTGCTTGAGGGACTCCACTCGGAGTCTTTGGCTCAATAGCCTGACCCACAAAGCAGTGGAGAGCAGATCCAGCTCGGGAATGTGATTGCAGAGACAGATTGGGATCTGCTTGACGGCCGTCACACGCAGCCTTTGAGGTACTGGAACGATCTATGTATGTTTTGCGACCTTAGTAGGATACACCTGCGACCACGACCAGACGCAGGTGGGTTTTGGTGTGTTCACACCGATTTGACCTGGGGCTGCCTGGCTTGAGGCGGGCAGTAGCAAACCATTGAACACCCGGAGGTGTCCTCCCACCGTCAGAGACAATGCGTGGCACTGGTGCTCTACGCCAATCGAGCTGTGAGATTATAACCCGTAAACCTGTTGTCTCCCATGGCTAGGTTTTACGGGAAGAGGGCTATCGACCACTTCCTAACCTCCGAAGAGGATGGACTAGGATGCTGGCAGGGCGTCCACATCTGACAGGAGAACGACTCGGGTCCTCAGCCAAAGCCTTCGATTAAATGTACACCCGAAGGCAGCGGGTCTAGCACATGGTCAGTTCACTGACTCATGCGGATTGGTGTCCTGGATCTTAGCAGGGGGAACGGCGAAATCCAACTCCCACCCAGCGGTCGCCACGAGGAGGCGTCCAGGACATGAGCCAATGGTTCAGCAGTATCAGCAGTGGGTAGATCATCTGCCAGGATGTAGCCCCCACCAACCTCAGCGCACCATAGACTCTTCCGCCATATATATATATATATATATATATATATATATATATATATATATATTAAGAGGTGGTATAGTTATGCGGCCTTGATCTGTCCTTTAACTCGTGCTCTTGTTAAACACAGGTTCTTTGCACTATCCATCCAGCTTCTTGATGCTGGTCAAGCAATTTCCACCAACGCTAAGTATCATCCACTGTTCAGGACTATGAACATTGAAATCAAGCAGCTCCGGGCGGATCGCAATGCCTGGTGCACGGAGCGGGTCATCTAGATGGAGTAAGTAGCCACCTCGTGGAATTCCCGTAACCTTTTCCTCCTGATCCGTTCCATGTGCGGCAGAAATCCGACTATAGGTGAAGTTAATTTCAAGGTTGGCCGGGCTAGGGGCACAACCACAAAGAACACGCCTGATTGAAAGCTCTTTCGGACATGGCAAGAATTCGCTCTCAATAGCGGAAATGTTGTGAGACCTTGCTTTCGTGATTAAATGAATTTTTCTCTCTTTGTCGTGCTGTGCTTCTCCAGCTGTTGCGTCACTATCAGCTGTACAACTATATATATATATATATATATATATATATATATATATATATATGGTTGGCGGCATCTGGTTTCGGATTTGCCTGTCACTGTGGCCAGCCACAAGACGCCTGTGCCTACAGAGGCACCATGAGTGGCTTGCGCTGCACCACCCACAGCCCCAACCACACACCCCATATCCAGTGTAAACCCGAAGGAATAAGACCGGGAGGC